GGGCCAGGCTCTCACCACCCTCACAGCAAAGAATTTCTTCCTAATATCTCATCTAAATTTCCCCTCTTTCAGTTTAAAACCATCCCCACTCCTCCTAAAACCATTAACCCTTGTCCTATCGTACAATTTCAATTTAGCACTTTTCTGTGTCCCTCCTTTGGTCACACACCTTTTCTCCTGAATCGTTCCTCTGATCTCTCAAAATCGCATTGAATCCCAACCCAGGTTGATTTCAGCCTTCCCTGCTTAGGGAACTTACTTAAAAACTTACTTAAGAGCCCTGCTCCACACGCTACACGCACCAGCTTTAATCTTCAAGAAGCAGAAGTTCATCCACCGCTTAACTTCAGATCACCCCCATTTAAAACACAAGGGAAGGAGTGGGCACTGACACACAATAACACACAGCAAAGACCAATTGTTACACCCTGGACAGACTTCACTAATTGAGCTGCAGCTTTCTGCCACATCTGGCCCCATCCTCCTGACACCCACCCTTTAAGTATTTATAGACATTGATGAGATCATAGAATCATAGAATGGTTTGGGTTGAAAGGGACCTTAAAGATCATTTAGTTCCAACCCCCCTGCCCTGGGCAGGGACACCTCCCACCACACCACGTTGCTCCAAGCCCCCTCCAACCTGGCCTTGAACCCCTCCAGGGATGGGGCAGCCACAGCTTCTCTGGCCAACCTGGGCCAGGCTCTCACCACCCTCACAGAAAAGAATTTCTTCCTAATATCTCATCAAAATTTCCCCTCTTTCAGTTTAAAACCATCCCCACTCCTCCTAAAACCATTAACCCTTGTCCTATCGTACAATTTCGATTTAGCACTTTTCCGTGTCCCTCCTTTGGTCACACACCTTTTCTCCTGAATCATTTCTCTGATCTCTCAAAATTGCATTGAATCCCAACCCAGTTTGATTTCAGCCTTCCCTGCTTAGGGAACTTACTTAAAAACTTGCTCAAGATCCCTTTAATCTTCAAGCAGCAGAAGTTCATCCACTGCTTAACTTCAGATCACCCCCATTTAAAACACAAGGGAAGGAGTGGGCACTGACACACAATAACACCCAGCAAAGACCAAGGAGGTCCCCCAGAGCAGAGTCACAGTCATTTCACTCATTCCACAACATGTTCTTTACATCCTTACCTTTAATTTTCTGTTTGTACTCTTCTGGTCGGTGGAGGTACATGGCTGCAGCGTCACCATTTAGAGGATCTATAGGGTTGGGATAGGCCAGCAGCTGGGGCAGGAACGATTCAAATATATTGGTGAGATCTGCAAGTGAGAAGACACAGTTGTTAATGTCCATGGACCTGGAGTCAGCCCGATTAATTCCCTGCAGGCACCAGCACTGAAAACAGCAGCACCTTCAAGGGCAAACACACTGAAAATCCGGGCACAAGTCAAAAATGAAGGAAATGGCATCGGGGGAAGCACCCACGGAGCTGATAAAGGAACTTCTGCTGCTGCTGGAGGTGACCTGCAGCTCCTCAGTTGACCACACAAACTACTTGATATCTCAGCAACCCAGAGACAGGTATCTGTGGGTCAAGGAAAGAAGTGGAAGGACACAATTGCCTTGTTTCCCATTTAGGCTCAGCCCTGGCTGAGAAAAAAAAAAGGAAAAGAGAAAACCAAAGTGCTATGCTTCACCTCTCACTGGGTTCTTCTCCTAATTCTGCCTCCTCCTGTCACTGTCTATAACTAAATTGATGTGTCTCGAGCACAGAGTATCTTCCAAAGCACTTTAAATGATTACATGTTAATAGAAAGAGCAACCAACAAGTCCCTCCTCCAACTCCAAACAATTTGCAGAATGTGAAGAGCTGACATTAACACCTTGGTGCCGGTTGGCATCTGTCACTAAACAATCCACAACAGGGAACATCCTTCTGGCGCCGATGAGTAATTGTGGATACACGAAACCCTCTTCCCACATCCCTAAGACGCCAAGCACCACTCTTTGGTGGTGGGAGGGTGTTCAGAAACAAGCCCTGCATCATCGTTCCTCCTCGGGACCTTTGGCAGGACCACACAAACCCACACAGAGCAGAGCTGAAGCCCCCAGTGCAGGGCTGTGTGCCAGGGTTTTGCCTTGGCCACCGGAGAGCTGCCGATACTGGCCAACCAGTGCTTGTCATGTGGGGTTTTCTGTTGGGTTTTGTTTGGGAATATTCTATACATCTTTTATCAGGATTTTCCTTTCCTTCCTAATTATAGGGAGTGTCTTTTTCCTGGTGGTAAAGAAATCCTTCCTGCCTGTGGATGAGCATCACCAATCCCCTCTAGCATGGATTGAAGTAGAGCTGTCAGAAGGGAAGCCCAACGCTCCCTAAGATCCACCATGGGAGCAGTCAACCATCTCAACCTGCCTCTTACAGGAAGGTGTGACTATTCCTGAGCCCAGCCATCATCAAACCTCATGGAGCTGCTAAATTCAACAGGGTCTGATGGTGGGCAAGGACCTCAGAGCCATTAACTTTCTAAAGATTCATCAAAAATGGGTGGGCAGGTATGGGGAGAGATCTCCAAGTGCAAAGTTACTCGAGCTCCAGGCTGTAGCCACAGAAAAACCAGGCTCCAATTCCATCCCCAAATATACAGCCTCGGAAGAGCCACACAGTAGATCCAGGCAGATCTTCACCACTGCCCCATGCTACAACTGCCAAAGATCTACCAATGGGTGTTCTTTCAAAATGTGCTTTCAGAGCTTGCTCAAGAGGATTAAAGGAGATTCAAGGTTTTATCAGTTCTTCCCTCCTGCATCAACACGTCTGGGACGTACAGACTCCGTGCTTCTTCAGTCATCCATTCACCACAAACCTTGCTGAGCAGGAGGGAGCTCCATGGCTTTAGACACTCAGGAGTGTAGGGTTCATTATAGCTGACCCAACTGCAAAAAGCAATGACATCAATTGCCATGGCTGTCACGCTGAGTGGCCAAGTGCCACCAGCTGCTCCTGGGGTGAAGCACAACAGCAACTGCAAAAAGGATCCCAATCCAAACAGGGTCCACAAAACCCGGTGAGAACACTCTGTAAGAATATTTTCTGCCGTGGTAGTGGCCTTGCTAAACCAGTTAAACCTCCTGGGGATTTGGCTCAGACACTGTCAGCAAGAAGTTGATTTTAAGTTTGTGAAACCGCCTGCTCTTGGGTGAAGTCTCTCCACGGACTAGGCTTAGATCAAGTAACGTGGCCATTAGACAACTAAACTCCAACATAGGCTGAGCAAGGAGAGCCCTGAGAGGCCACCATAGCTCACAGGACACACTGGCAGGGATTTTTCTTCTTTAAGAGAACTCAGTAATTTCCCCTTTCTTTTAAATCCCCCAAAGCGGCACTGGCTTAGCAGGAACCAGCTGAATGAGTGCAAGAAGCCTAAGCACAAAGCTAAAGACTTGAAACTTTGTTAGGGAAGGAGAGGGAATTTAACCACGAGGTCCTCAGGAATTTCTTGGTAGCTATTCTGGGTCTCTTCCACCTTAGTTGCTCCTGGAATTATCTGACCCGTATCCTCTGCCAGCGCAGGAGCACTCTGCTTCCAAGGGGTGACACTCCAAACAGCACAGCTCTGCCAAGAGGCATGGGGAAATATTATTTCCCCCTTTTCATTTCATGTTCAGAAATGAGCCACCTCCTTATTTCACTGGAAGTGAAACCCTGGGAGTGAAGGGGTGATGGTGGCACTGTAGTTTTTGATGACTTCTGAGTCAAGGGGGCAGAGGACACCCCAGCGTCCCCCCTGCAGCTTCAAGGCATCCTGCAGCAAGGCAAGGGAAGTTTGCAGTAAGATGACTGTCAAAAGATGCACTTAATGCCAATTTTCACCAATTACTGTGGAAAGTGCTCTGTACAGAACACACACCTGGTATCTTCAAGTTTTCTAACACCCATCACCGATACCGCAAGGAAAAATGCAGATTTTTGCAAGCTTGCTGATATTAATACATCATAGTAAATACCAAGCTGGTTTTTCTACCTTGACAAGCAACAGGGGTGACAAAAACACAGCAGCGCTCATTAGGAAACCTCTCACAGAAAAACCTTCCTGTGAAACTGGAAATAGTGCAGAAGCCCCACTGTGGCTGTCGGTGAGAGCGTGCTGCCCAACAGGGAGGCTCATCCATGCACAGCTTCCAAACAAAGCAAAACCCAGCCTGATGGAGCACAAAAAAAAACCAACCTCACAGTTACACCGGAGCAGTTTTCTTTTGCTCAGTCATCCCCAGGATCTGCAGGTGGCATTTAAGGGCTGGCACAGCAGCCCACGCTGCACTGCCCTGGATTCTGCTGCCGACTGAACCACGCAGGTTCATCCCCAGCAGAGGGCTTGGTTTGCTTAATACAGCTTTAATTCCTCCCTCCTGCATCAGATCCTCCCAGGACACAAAAGCATCCTCTTCCTCCATCAGCAACACCACCTGGGTCACGGCTCCACTCATCTCTCCCAACAAAACCATGTGAAGTGTATCCCCTGCAACCACAACGCCAGGACTTCAGGCATTCTGACGAGGAGGAAAGTTCAACAAGTTGCTATAGCAATTCCCCCACCCAGGATTCACCAAGTCTGGTTATTTCCTTACAAATTGTCCTTGGGAGGAAGGTGAAGGAGCTTGTCTCTCTAGCAACTGCTTCAAAGCTTCAACTTACATAGGTAAAAATCAGCTTTTTGTGGAAGAGATGTGAAGGATTTTTCTGTGCAGGTTCCCTGAATGCCCTTCCACAAAACATAATTGGAAGATGTGATGAAGTACACGTTTTTAAAACGCGGCCAACCCAGATGAGATACTCAGCTGCATTCCTTTTAACAATCTCAGCTTTCCCTAAATGCTACTTTAAGGGCTCTTCCGCTACCGGCTGATGTTTTTATATCTCTAAAAAGGAGAGTTATAGCCAGAAACAACCTAATGGGAAACCCAAAACTGCAGCACGCAGTGCAGTCATCAGATGCACCACCATCTCCCAACCTGCAATGAAACGACGCTGCCATGACAAAGAGGAATGGTTTCTGGTGCCATCTTCTGTAGAAGCGGGATCGTGGCCTTATGCACAAAAAATACCAGCTCCAATGCATGTACAAAACAGGGATGGGGCAGCTGGAACTAGGTTTCACTTTAGATACAGTCCCTGCTCTCTTCCAGTGCTGAATCATGGCAGGGTGCTGTTGTGCAGTTGCCTGGCATTGTCTGGCGACGGATGGAGCGATCCTTTGTGAGGTTTATGGAATATTTTTGCCCCTCTGGCAGGCAAACAGCTTACGTAAGTATGTTCACATGAAAATCACATTTTTCACGTGATCTTGGCTCAGTGAGGAGTCTAAAACTTCAGTTAAAAAAAAAATAAAATAATAAATTGGCCCGAGATCATCTGTCTGCAACAAGCTGTGTTATGTTAACACACCAAATAGGGATGTTCACGTGCTCAGCTTTCGGGGAAATGCCAAACTCACCGTAGAGAGCTGTCCAAGTTTGATTGATTACATCTAGACATACAGTTCCTGACCTGAAACATATGGAAAGGATGGAATTAAACACAGTCACACTCACAAATACTCTGGGGATTTAATATAATCTACCCCCTCCCTTCCCTTGCCCTGCCTCTGCCCCCCAAGTTTCAGATATGCTATGATTTACCCCTCTCTTGTGGTTAATAGAGGGGCAGCCTTTAACTAAATGAACCTTCATACTCTGCACAAAAGAAAGTAAATTGGAGCCTTTACTGAATTAGTTGGTCCATATGGGACTCCCCTTAACAACCTTAACTGAAATAAAATCTTATGTTTTGAAGAACTTTAGTACAGCCATGAACTCCAGCTAAAGAGGGAGCCATGGCTTAGCTGATGTTGTTCCTTGTTTCTAGAAAGCCAACAAAGGAGGGGGAACCAGCAACCTCGAATTTTCTGTAAATGAAGCACGTTGCAATAAAAAAACCACATCTGCAAGAGAGTCTGCAGCACGCAGTTCTCCAGCCTTGCCCACAGCCTCAAAGTTAACTTGTGACAACGTCTACTCCCATCAAATCCCTCACTCTGGACTCCTGAGATTGACAAAAGCATTATTCAACTCATCAGTGTATTATCATGAAGCCAAAATACAGTTACAATTAGGCAAACCCCTTAGAAAAACAAAAAACCAACAAACCATACACTGGAGATTTACTTACGCTTCGTCAATGTTGGGATGGAAAATTTTATTCATGAATCCTGCAAAGAGACACACTGGTAAATAGCAGAAAACAGCCAAAGATTATTTTTTTTTGTTGTTTTGTTTTTACAAGAGAAGACTGGAATTTACCGAACAAAGACTCATCTCACTCATTTCAAAGAAAACCCAGCCTTAGCTATATATAGCTACGTAACATTTAAAATATGCAGGCAACATTCTGACCTTAGGGTCCTCAGCCATTCCCTCAAAATTCAGCAAAACCCTCTGCTGACAGCGCACCCGTACCCCAAAGGTTTTGTGGTTCAGTATTATCTCAAAAAGAACTGCCCATCAGCACAATCAAGCACCCACATCTGATAAAGCATTTTAAGGATCCCTAAAAGCCGCAAGGATCTCTTCGGTTTTGTGTTTAGAGTTTATTCAACTTCAGCATTTGCATTAAGATTGGGTTTGGTTTTTTTTTAATGTCTCCCAACAAAGATTTTCTATTAATTTGAAGTCACAACATTAGTCTACATTTGTAAGCCATTCAGGGGCAGAGACTGGTGCAGAGAGCTAATACTTCAAGTTTTGCATCAATACAGCAATTAATTCAGCAGTTGGTACCTCTGGTCTCCTAGAAAAGAAAACAGCTCAGACGTAAGGCCTGGAAAAACAAAGCTCATCTTGGCTTTGTCCACATTTCAGACTTCTAGATTTGACAGTGCTTTCTTTGTTCCAACTTGCAAATTAAATTGTTAAAAAAAAAATCCTGTGGTTTCAAGACTTGCGACATCACGGCAGAAGATGCCTCACACTTATATATATATTTTTAATATATATATGGTACATATATCAGATACAAGGCTGTATCTGATAGCAGCAGCTCAAGGTAAGCCCTGTTTTCCAGCTGCCTACTTTAACCTCAAGAAAGATGGGACCTCAAAAAACATCCCCCCCCTTCTCCCTTTTTATAAAACAAAGATATTAAAAGGATTATAACATCATATTTCACACCATAGTTTGTGGAGAAGTAAAGCACATCCACCCCAAAAGCAAAGCTTTCAGATGATGGCTGTGAGGGGATGCAGAACCCAGCTTCCAAACTCCTCCTGTTCCTTTCAGTAGGAGAAACCCAAATAGCTGGGTGAGGGACATGTCCCCAGACATGGAGCAGGGATCAAAAACTGGGTTTTCCAGTTATTTCACTGCCAAATGGATCCAGTATTCCTATACATTTCTGCTGGCTTGGCCAAATCATTTGGGCTCTGCCCAGCAGCGCCGCTACAACCCCCGAGCAGTCCCAGGTTAAGCTACTTCCACATTTTAGCACTGTTGGGTTTTTTTTTTTCAAAACATAAAATAAAACCTTCTCTCCTCTGTTCTACCACCACCCTGCAGCCTGTAAGGCCCTAAAAACGCTGCCCATGTGGGAATCACACCTTTCTGCAATAAGCAGAAACCTACTTTAGCCAATAGCAACCATTCCTTCCGACAGAGGTCTGCGTTTATAAAAAAGGAGTAAGAAATCGAGGTCTGGGATATAGGCTCCAATCCATTTTAAAAAGCTCCTTCCAGGACTGAAAGCGCACAGAAATTCTCTCTCTCCAGAGCAGCCCAAAAAGTGTAGGAATTGGTCACTGTTGGGCAAAATCCCCCACCTTCACCACCTTTATCCAGCTATTCCTGGCAAGAGGCTGCAGTAGCGCTGCCCGAACGAGGAGTGATCACGATTTGAGTGACAGCATGGTTCCCATCTGGGGTAAGAGCTGACATATGGATTTAACTCCCTTTCCCCCCCCTCCTCCTCCACGTATTATGACACAAATATAATTTCATGTTTACTTGTAGCGCTCGGATTTTGCATAAATACAACGGAAGGCTGAAACGATGCCCGGAGCCAGAACCATCTCTAAAAGAAGAACTGGGAACTGCATAAACAACTCCCCTCTAACAAGTGTCTTTCAGGAATACTTTGTTGTGCTTTAAGCTTGAAAAACTGAAGCAGCCTTAAAAAGGGAAGCCGTAGCTCCATCAAATATTTACGTTATGGCAGCTCTCGCAGGTTTAAATCAGGTCACGGACCCATCAGGCTGGCACTGGAGAGCTGCAGCCAGCACCAGTCCTGATTCCAAATCTCATCTCTCTTTTTTTTTTGGGGAGGGAAAAAGTTAAGATTCTGATAATGCAGAATAAAAGAGAGTTTGGGGAAAACACCAGGTGCTTTGAGCAACCTGGTCTAGTGGGAGGTGGGAATCCCCATGGCAGAGGGGTTGGAACTTGATGATCTTTAAGGTCCCTTCCAACCCAAACCATTCTATGAACAAGAAGAGGATGGTAATGTGTAGACCTGCTGAATTAAATACTCTCTGTTTTGGTACCTGGGGCACAGACCGACCCTCTTTAGCCCATCCAGAGACAGGCATCCCTCTGCCTTCCCTCATTTTGGCTTTCACAGAATCACAGGATCTTCTAGGTTGGAAGGGACCTTAGAGATCATCTTGTCCAACCGTCAACCTGACTGACAAAAATAGACACCCACACAACAAACAAGGAGCATCATCACTAAACCATACCTCCCAGCACTACATCAACCTGTCTTTTGAACACCTCCAGGGATGGTGCCTCAACCACCTCCCTGGGCAGCCCATTCCAATGGCTGAGAACCCTTTCAGTGAAAAAATTTTTCCTAATATCCAGCCTGAGAGCATCTCACTCTTTCTGAGCATCTCACCTGTTTCCCAGGATCTCCTACCACAGCCACCTATGGCTGGTGGGACGTGCTGCAAACCCACCTGTAAGGTTTTTGGTCAACTCTTCGTTCACACACTTCAGCATTTAAGCTGCACTCAATATCCAGGACCTGTTTCCCAGGATCTCCTACCACAGCCACCTATGGCTGGTGGGACTGTTTCCCAGGATCTCCTACCACAGCCACCTGTGGCTGGTGGGACAAGGCTGTGCTGCAAACCCACCTGTAAGGTTTTTGGTCAACTCTTCGTTCACACACTTCAGTATTTAAGCTGCACTCGATACCCAGGGAGAGGAGACTGGGTTTTCTGCTCAAGCAGCTCCTCTGCTAGAAAACTGCAATTCTTCTCTGTCATCTTTGCATTCATCCAGGCAAGGAACAATCCCTTCTTTCACATCGTCCTTGGTCTCAAGCTTTGCAAATGAAACAGTTGTTCTTCAAGAAAGGACACAAACCTCCTCTCCCCACACTCCTTGTTTTCCAGGTTGTTGCCACATCTTCTTGCAACTCTTCAAGGTCCTCCCCAGTCTCATTCTCCTACAGACACAAACTGCCCTGTCCAAGAGCAACTCTGTTCAACATTTTTCCTTTTCCTGACTCTGAAATAAGCTCAAACCTATTATTTCCTCCTTTATTTGAAATGCCAAGTCACCTGCAGCCATAAAGCACTAATATTGCATCAATAATACTGACTTGCTCTGTATTTATTTCCTTTATTTGAAATGCCAAGTCACCTGCAGCAATAAAGCACTAATATTACATCAATAATACTGACTTGCTCTGTATTACAAATACAAAAGACAAAGCAAGCATAAACATCCACGTAAAAATGAAATTCCAATTTAAAGAGGAAGCCAGGAGTAAAAAAAAGACCTCCCAAGCCAGTATAAACACTGGGGCAGATTTACTGCCATAGTCTTGAACGTAGCACACCCCAATTAATATATTACACAGAACTCCAGGTTCTTTGCTCCACAAAGAGTATCAAGGGATAGGGTCTTGATTTTGGGTTCTCACCACGGCCTGCAGGATGAAGCCGGGGTCACAGCCTGAGCAGTCATGATTTCAGGTGCTGGACTGGCTGTAAACACTTAATTTAACATTTTAAAACCAATATTCGCACTGAACCCTGGAACAGCCAAGGCTTAGGAAGGATATGAGCAGCAGAGTGGCCGTGGTCCACCCTCTCCAGACCAAGACACTGAGGTCCAAGATTGCATCTAGAGGTAAAGCAGGACTGCGTAAAATCTGTACGGACACAAAGTCTTCAGGTCATAACAGAAAAAAAACACCCCACAATAGAAAGGGACACATCTGTTCTGATCCTGGAAGACGCTGAGACCAATATGCAGATGCTGACCTTCAAAAATGTTGGTAGTTCAGCAACAGCCCTGGAGTAATCACTCCTTGGGTTGACAAAATCTTTGAAGAGAAGAGCATTTTTAAATTAAAAACCAGCTAACCGAATGGCTGTCAATCTTCCTTGACGCTGCAAACACAGGAACATTCATAAAGCTCCAGCAGCTGGACATATTCCAGTATGAAATTAAGTTCTCTCACCATGCACACACATCAACCGTGGGTGGGTCTGAACATCCAGTTGCAGCTGGGTCCAAGCAGTGACTCCTGAAGCTGGGCAGGAGCTGAACACAGTCTCCAGGTGAGTAAAACCATGATGAAGAACCAGGGAGGAACTTCACACTTATGTTGATGTCAACTGCAGATTAAAGCTCCCAAGAAATGGCCAGAAGGCCCTACGAGAACCAAGGTGGGCTGCTCTGCCAGCAAGAGGCAGAGCCCAAATCCCCAGATAACTTGGGGAACGATGAGGACTTCCCCAAGGCACCTCTTGTTGTCCTGTGGAGCCATCAGGCAGAAAGCTCCTGCAAGAGGTTGTTCCTCATCTATTACTCCCCTATCACTCTGTCTATAGGGCTTGGACTGTGATCTAGAAAGGGTCCTCCTACCTTGGTAGAGCCCTTATCTACCATTCAGGAAGAATGGACTCAAAAGTTGGAGATAAGAGGGATCAGAAACCTGGGCTGGAGACTGCCTCCTCGGTCCTTCTCCATGTCCAGCTGCACAATGCTGGCCCACAGCAGCAGAAAGCTTTCTGTCCCCCTTGGTGCTTCTCTTCCAAGTCAGGAACCGGCTGCAATCCAACGAGCGGCGCTTCAAAAGATGGTCCATTGTTTATCTGAGCTCAAAGTACAGCCAGCTTAGCTGGGAGGTTTAGGTGAGAGGTCCCCAAAAGAGACATTTTTTTTTTTTTTCCTGCAGCACAGCTCTTCGAAACTTCGAAGTTGA